TGGGGAATTCTGGGAGTTGAAGTCCAGACATCTTAAAGTTGCCAAGGTTGAAAAACACTGGAGTAGACTGAGCAATCAAAAATTATTCTGCTAAAACAGCCCATGGCAGGGCACTTCCATATTGTTGCCATAAAACTACAGGTAGTCCCCAGGTTAAGAACGCCCAGTTTAAGGATGACCCATAGTTCATTTAATAGATCATGGTTAATCCCTCGTTTTGCCCATTTTGAAAGATTCCTATTTATCCGACTTCCTGTCTCCACGTTGCAGGTTTCCGGCACAACCCTGAGCAAGAAAGTGAAGCTGAAACGAGAGAATCCCGACTTGCTGGAGCTCTGTCACACGCTGCCCATGGAGGTCGTGAATCTAGGTAAGCACCAGGTCGGGCCCCCCAAGGACACTCCCTTTGAGTCAGGGGAGATGCATGGCACTTCTTCACTCGTCGGCTTGCCTTCACCCCAGGAGGTGGCAAAGGCTACGACCCCACCAACCAGGAGGATTCTGCAGGCTTTGAAGAATGGCTGCACTGTTACTCTGCCCCAGGCATGAAATCCATGCGCGATACCAATGGCAGGACCATCTGGTTCCAGGTAGGGATACGGGCGGCATTTCGCTTCTAGGTAAGAGAGGCCCATCTTGGTCCTGTCCTTGGCTGGTTTGCAGGGTGCACCGACGTTTGGCCTAGTGTGTTGTGCATGAACCCAGCCGTCCTCCCCTGTAAACATGGCCAATGGCTTAGCATATTGTATGAATCTGATTGTGGCTTATTTAATAGATCATGGTTAAAGAAACGGTGACTTTACACAAGAAATGGATCTGCTCAGTGGTTGCCTTTGCATTATAACTACAATGACCATACATCCTTTGTTATAAAGGACAGCTGTCCTTTATTTCAGAAAGCTGTCCTTTAGATTTATTTATTTTTCAGAAACTCACTTTGGTCCTTTATTTAGTCGTTTCACTTTTACCGTACAAATAGTAGCGCTTAATGCATTTTTTTTGCATTCATGTGAAAAATATGGAAATTGAATTGTCTTTTTTTAAATAAAGTTACATATACGGTTAGATTTTAGATATTTTTATTAGAATATGCACTTTTTAAAGCTTTGCTTTTGAATGTTCCTTTGTAAAGCAGAGTTATAAACATAAGCAATTAAAATTTTAAATCCTTAGGAACCTCTTGCAGATTTGTCCTTTATTTTTTCCAGGAAAACATCACTGTATTTATAATATAATGACGGTCACTGTCATTTGAGCAAAAAGCTACATGGCTCCATTTCACTCAAACACACACACACACGTGCATGCACACTGCCCCAGCTCTTTCATTGAGTTTTCAGACTTTCACATCACTTAGGCAATCATTTTGGGTCCCTTTAATCCAGATGGACGGAACCAAGTTTTCTTGCTCAGCGTGTTAGGGCACAAAGTTAGACATGTCCTTGGAGATCAGTTGAGACCATCTGCTTAATAATAATAATCTAGGAAAGATTATCCACGTCTGTACACAAATAGTGGAACCAGTCATTTACATCCACACTCTTTTTTTCCCCAACAAAATTTTAGAAGGCATTTTAAAGTGTTTGTTTCTTTAAAGAGCATTTTAGAGTTTATTTTCCCAGTATCTGGACGGGATTGCTTTATTCAGCAAGGGGCTGCTAAAATTCTTAACTGTCTGATAAAGTAAGCCTTAGCTCATGACATCAAGCTTCCCCATTCTGAATATGATGACTTCCAGATGTTCCATAATGGGCATACTGGCTGGGGAATTTGGGCAGCTATGGGGCACAGAGTCTGGAGAAGGCTGCCAAAAGACATTTATGGCATCTTCAAGGGGCTGTACAAGCCTGCTTTTGCTTTTTTGCTACTGCAAACGAACACAACTTCCCCGCGGGAAGATGGCGTAAAAGTATTTATACTGACAATGCACTTGTGATGCATTTCCGCTACCAGCTGACGCTGGGTTTTCACCCTGTTCAATTCTCAATAATTAATATCAGGTTTTCCAGGCGTTGGGTGATCAGTAGCTATGTAAAGACAACCTGGCCTATCTCTATTCCAAGAAACCGCAACTATTTTTCTTCCATGCAGGGAGACCCTGGACCCATGACTCCGAAAGGTCAGCTCCACTTTTGCATGTTTTCCGGTAGTTTGAGGAAAAGAGAAAATGAGAAAGTGCTTTATTTTCTAAACCACTGTAATAAACTGCTTTTGATTTGTCCTCCTAGACCAGGGTTTCTCAGCCTTAGCAACTTTTAGAGGTGTGGACTGCAACTCCTGGGAGTTGCAGTCCACACCTCTTAAAAGTTGCCAAGGTTGAGAAACACTGTCCTGGACCATGGCAAGATTTGACATTTCCCAGCAGTGAGACTCCCTGCTTTCCTTTGAAATTCACTGGATTATCAGAGTAGAGTCTTCCAACAATTTCATTTTTGACTCTAGATTTTGGTGTTTTTATTTGTTTTCATGCTGTGAGTCTGCATATGATTGTGGCAGGATAGAAGTGAGAGAGAAAATGTGACTAAATTAATCAAGAGTGCTAATCAACCTATACAGCAGCATGTAGGTTGGCATCAAAGATATTTGCTAGGATCCTAGCCCAGGGCAATTTCTACTTGCAGCCAGAAGATCTCAGATTTGACTGCTACCTTTTCCAGTTAAAGGATCCAGAGATCAAAGTTCTTTGCATTGTTGCAAAGTTCTTATTTTCTTTATTGAAAATAAAGAAAACTGAGCAAGATGCTCTGGCTGAGAAAAGTCACCTTCTGTTCCTGTATCATTATAGTTAATTAACCAATTAATCTACAAATTATAATGAATTTGAAGATGGCACTGATCTAATTATGTGTATGTTTTTAATCCCAGGAGGGAAATCACAGAAAAAGAAGGTTCAAGTAAATTCTAATCCAGCTGCACAGAGTTCAAGGGTAAAGATATTAACTTTTTTTTTTTCAGGAAATCATTTACCCTAGACCTTAAGGTCTCTCTCTCGTCTATTTTTCTGCCTCTCTGTGTAAAGATCCCAGAATTATTAGTTCTGTTAAGTTCCTCTGCCCTGGAAGCAGAGCGTAAAAACAGCCCTGAAAAACAGTTGAAGAACAAGATAAAGGGATCAAAGATCAGGAAGACTGGGGCAGAGAGAAACACCATAGTCCAATATTTGACAATTAACAAGTTACGCCACAAATGGCTGGGTTTACATCACAGTCAGCAACCCCAAACCAGTTACTACATCCACAGGTTACCAAGCACAAAGTTCTCGTTTACTGCTCACTATGCCTATTTCATGGAAGATTTGATAGGAAGTTATATATGATGTGTATAGATTTGGCCCCCTTCTCTCGGTACTGGGAATTAAGAACCTCAGTATGTAATTCTGTACAAGTAACATGCCTTACTTCAGGACGTTGTCTTACTCTCTGTAAGATGAAGAACAGTTCAAAGCATGTTACATAAGTTCCATACAGCTCTAAGAGTAAATCCCGTAGAACTACAGGTGTTAGTTCTGAGCAGAAATACATATGACTTTTCTGCTTAAGATAGTGTTCCCCAAGCGGCTGTTCTCTCTCCTGATATTGGGTTGGAGTTCCACCATTTATGCCATTGCCGTGGTCCAACATATCAGGATACGAATTTGGGGACCAGTGGGTCTCCAGCTGTTGTAACTGAGCAATGTTCAGAGGCCTGCAGGTTCCTCAAAAGTTGTTCTCAGGATTTTTGAATGGGTGGATTAGTTTTCCCAAGCATCTGTGTCCATCTCTGTAGGTCACCAAGCAGTTGGCGAGGAAGAATTCCAACCCTGGTCCTGCTCAGAAAGGACTTAAGGAGAAAAGGAAACTTAGAACAGAGAGTGGAATTGTCCAAGAAAAGGAGGATGGCAGTTTGGTAAACGGAGCCAGGAGACCAAGGACCAGATCTCAGAGATCATCTTCTGATCTGCAAGAGTCTTTGCTGCTAAGTTCTCCAGCTCAAGCGAAGAAGAGGCGAACACCGACTCAGAAAAAACAGAGTGAGAAACATAATCTGTCTTGGGTTTGTGAGGGCTATCCAAAGTGTCTACCGACTGGGTCATCTAACTCAGGGTTCCTCAACCTTGGTGACATAAAGATGTGTGGACTACAGCTCCCAGAATTCCCCAGCCAGCATGGGTGGCTGTGGAATTCTGGGAGATGTAGTCCACACATCTTCAAGCCGCCAAGGTTGAGGAACCCTGATCTAACTGTTAATTAATTTTCCCTTTTAGCTAAGGCAGCTGCAGTCTCAAGATCTAGACGGGTAAAGGCTTCCTAACCCTTCTCAGTGCAGAATGATCATCGCACAAGCTTCATGCAGGACTTCATGCTCCAGCGGAGGAGACAAGTGCATCTTTTTGACCCAAGAGTAGCAACTGAAGAACGCTTGTCAGAAAATCTTTTCCTGCTTCCTCATTTACCAACGTTTAAGCGTATGATTACCCACAGACTTCTCTGATAGTACTTACACTGTTTTTAAAAACCTGCACCCTTAGACAAAAATGTCTTTGGTTCCAAACTGTCCTGGCAGGAGGAACTGGAAAACAGTCTGGTGATTTGAATAGTTGCTCCCTCTCAAATGCCTTCTTATGGAAAGAAGACTTGCACAGTCCAGGGAGCTTTCGGAACAAAAGTTCTGGGCAGCAAGTGAATAAGATTTAATCTGTGTATTTATCTCCCTAAACTTTCAACAGTTAATCAAATGCTTTGCCTTCCTTTTTTAACAGCGTGTTTTTTTTAAAAAACTGCTTTTTTATACCAATAAAAAAGGCCCTGCTTTATTCTTTTACATAATTTTATTCAAGATTTTTTTTTAAAAAAGGTAAAAACTAATATAAAGTGAGAAAAAGAAAAGAATCAAAGAGAAAGCTAAAAGTGAAAGGGGAAAAAAGGAAAAGGAAAATAGAAAAAGATAGAAGTAGCTTCCAATCTTCTTTACAGCACTTATAAGTACAATTATAAATTTACCTCTTACTCTATGGCTACAACGTAATTCTTCTTTCTATAATCTATCCTGTCTAATCATCAAAACCTGAAATTCTGTTTCATGCAAAAAGCTCATAAGGGGTTTCCAGTCAGCAATAAATGCAGATATTGTCTTTTCTCTAATCGAAGAAGTCAATTTGGCCACCTCAGCAAGTTCCATCATCTTCACCAACCGCTCCTCCATTGTGGGTAGTGCTGAATCTTCCCATCTTTGGGCATACAAGAACATCACTGCAGTTACCATGTATAAAAACAAAGTTCTAGACTTTTTTCCAACTGTTTGTCCATCAGTCCCAAAAGAAAAACCTCTTATTTCAATTGTATATTAATCTTTAAAATCCTCTGAATCAGTGTATGTATTTGAATCCAGATTTTTTTAGCTTTTTTATAGTCCACCAAACATGGTAAAACGTCCCTTCTTGTTGTTCACATTTCCAATGTAAATTTGAAGTGCCTTTATACATTCTAGACAATTTATCTGGTGACATATACTGGTACATAATTTTTTTAAAATTCTCTTTAAGATTATAACATAATGTAAATTTCAATCCTTTCAGCCACATATTTTCCCATTGGACTGATGGACAAACAGTTGGAAAAAAGTCTAGAACTTTGTTTTTATACATGGTAACATACATTTTAGCAATTACATGTTCATCATTTGTACACAATTCTCTTTCAAACTCAGCCTTACAATGTTCAAAAGCATAAATTCTTTTGTCTACTTTAAATCTAATAATTGTAAATAAGAGAACCACAAAGTTCTAGACTTTTTTCCAACTGTTTGTCCATCAGTCCCTTGTTCCACCTGTATATTATAACCAAAGTTTTTAGCCCACTTTATCATCCATTCTTTCACTTGTTATTGTTTCAAATTTCAATAAAAGTTTATACATTTTAGCAATTACATGTTCATCATTTGTACACAATTCTCTTTCAAA